CGCCTCTAGATCCCATCTAGAGGGGCCGGCCCCCCTTGCCCCTTCCCCTATAAATAGAGGGGTGAGGGGAGGGCTGCATACACAAGCCAAGGAGCAGCCCCTCCCCTCCCCAGCACCTCTCCTCCTCCGTACGTGCTTGGCGAAGCCCTGTCGGAGTACTGCTGCACCAACAACACCACGCCGTCGTGCTGCCGTTGGAGCTGTCTTCCTCAACTCTCCTTCCTCCTTGCTGGATCAAGACGGAGGAGACGTCGCCCGTACCGTACGTGTGTTGAACGCGGAGGTGCTGTCCGTTCAGCACTTGGTCATCGGTGATCTGAATCACGGCGAGTACGACTCCATCATCACCATCCCCTTGAACGCTTCCGCACTCGATCTACAAGTGGTATGTAGATGCAAACTCACTCCCTTGACTCGTTGCTTAGATGAACTCATAGATGGATCTTGGTGAAACCGTAGGAAAAATTTTAATTTTCTGCAACGTTCCCCGACAATACGACACCCCAATCAAATGCAGAGCAGAGAGGAGGAAGAAGGAGGGGATGAACTCACCATGATAGAGAGGAGGAAGCCGACGCGCGCGCGCACCCATGCCCACAGGAGCGCCATCCAGGAGGCGGAGCCGCGGTAAAAGACTGAGAAGAGTCGCACCAGCGACCAGGGCGACGCCGCAACCGAAACCCTAGCCCCGCACACTCATGGAGACGCCGCGTCTTGTTGATGGAGACGTTGGTGCGGCGCTCGCTGCGGGCGTGGCCCGACTTGTGTAGGACGTCAGCGATGGGCGGCGGCGTTTGAGGGAGGGAGATGGGGAAGGGGATCGGCGGCGGCTGCGAGGGCGAGGGCGGCGGCTGATTCGAGTGCGGCGGGGGCGAACATCAGGAGGAATCGCTCGACCGATTCCCCAGCCCTGGTTTTTTTTCGTGGGTTAAACTTCGTAGATTTAGTTTTCTAGTGGTTTTTTCCTCGTTCGGCGTTGTGGGAGTAGGCAATCGATGCTCGAACCAGCGGGTGGTTCGCTGATACGGACGAGGTAACGGTGAGGACGAAAATAGACCAGGTGAGGTGGGAGGAAGTACCAAAGAAGTACCAAAAAAGACCAGGTGAGGTGGGACAAAAATAAAACCCGGAACGCGACCTACCAACTGAGACATTAGGAGTAGAGATGCTCTACAGGTGTCTCCGAAGGTGTTTTTTGGGTTGGCATAAATCAAGATTAGGATTTGTCACTCTGTGTTTCGGAGAGGTATCTTTGGGCCCTCTCGGTAATGCTCATCACTATAAGCCTTGCAAGCAATGTGACTAATGAGTTAGTTACGGGATGAAACATTATGGAACGAGTAAAGAGACTTGCCGGTAACGAGATTAAACTAGGTATGATGATACCGACGAGCAAATCTCGGGCAAGTAACATACCGATGACAAAGGGAACAACGTATGTTGTTGTGCGGTTTGGCCAATAAAGATCTTCGTAGAATATGTAGGAACCAATATGAGTACCCAGGTTCCGCTATTGGTTATTGATCGAAGATGTGTCTCGATCATGTCTACATAGTTCTCGAACCCGTAGGGTCCGCACGCTTAATGTTCGATGACGATTTGTATTATGAGTTATGTGATTTGATGACCGAAGTTTGTTCGGAGTCCCGGATGAGGTCACAGACATGACGAGGAGTCTCGAAAGGGTCGAAACAATAAAGACTGATATATTGGAAGGTTATATTCGGACACCGGAATGGTTCCAGAGTGATTCGGGTATTTTTCGGAGTACCGAGAGGTTACCAGAACCCCCCGGGAGAGTATTGGGCCTTCATGGGCCATAGTGGGAAGAGGAGGCCTGCGGCCAGGAGGTGGCGCGCGCCCCCCTAGCCAAATCGAATTGGACTAAGGGATCCCCTCCTTTCCTTCTCCCTCTCTCTTCCCCTTCCCCCTTCTCCTACTCCGAAAAGGAAGGGGGACTCCTACTAGGACTGGGAGTCCTAGTAGGACTCCCTCCTTTGGTGCGCCCCTCTAGGCCGGCTGCCTCCTCCCTCCCTCCTTTATATACGGGGGCAGGGGGGCACCCCAAAGGCACAACCGACAATCTCTTAGCCGTGTGCGGTGCCCCCTTCACAGTTTAACACCTCGGTCATATCGTCGTAGTGCTTAGGCGAAGCCCTGCGCCGGTAACTTCATCATCACTGTCGCCACACCGTCATGCTGACGGAACTCTCCCTCGTCCTCAACTGGATCAAGAGCACGAGGGACGTCATCGTGCTGAACACGAAGGTGCCGTACGTTCGGTACTTGGATCGGTTGGATCGTGAAGACGTTCGACTACATCAACCGCGTTACTAAACGCTTCCGCTTTCGGTCTACGAGGGTACGTGGACACACTCTTCCGTCTCGTTGCTATGCATCTCCTAGATAGATCTTGCGTGATCGTAGGATTTTTTTTGAATTACTATATTCCCCAACAATGGTATCCCCAACACTGTCGTAGCTCCATTGGCGGCGCAGTCCGAGGGGAGGTGGCCTTGTGGCCACCGCACTGTGGAGTTCAACCAGCAATGAGAGCCTCCCTCCTTTGAGAAAAAGGAAAAAAGAAGTGTCCCACTAACAAGTGGGTCCTGTGAAGTGGAAGAAATTTGGAGGCTACAATTTTGCAGCATCGGACTTTGCACGTTACCTCAACAACCTCTATAACATTATGGAGTGCACTCCAAAACGTTTTTGGAGGAAGTGGATATGGAGCATCTGCTAGAGTTGCTCTAAGGTCTTGAGCACATAAATTGTTCAGTATCAATTATGAATGAATGGATGAATAAAAAAGGAAAGTAAGTTTCTTGTTCAACGCTACTCCCTTCGTTTCAAATTAATGGAAGTTTTAGGTTTCTCGTAGGTCAAACTTGTTCACGATGATCAAACTATTGAAACATTTTCCTACAAATTTGTTCAAACTAAAAGAAGTTTAACTTGGGACAAACCTTGGACTTCAAATAAGTTGAAACGAAGGGTGTGGTTTACAAGTATATATCTTCAATCAATGATAAATAAACTGATTAAATTATGTTACCATTCAACTCACCTTTTGAATTTGCTTGGCGTTTGCGACCATAGCTCGCATCTTTTGCTCTGACAACAACGTGCTTCCATTTGACTTGAACAACTGGTTTATCTTCTTGTTCGTGCAGTCAGGCACGGACGCATTGTAGAAAGCATCAATCATCTTCCTGACCTCCTCCCGTTTGCTCAAAATTACAGGCCAGGAGAGCTCGGCCAAGGCTTGTGATAAGGTAAGCAGCTCAAACAGCTTACGGTCATCGTGAACCGGCACTCCCCACTCTTCATCATGGAATGCAACGTAGACGGGTTCTACAGAAGTGACGGTACCATCGAAAGTTATATGCGTATTGCAGCCCCATGCATGCTCCAAATTGGAGATTCACATGCTTGTGATGACTGATAATAAAGTCTTTAATTTATCATGGAGTTCATAGACTAATTCCTCCGGACGCTAGGGCACAACGGAAACGAAACGAAGTTCTCACCAGAGTTAGCAGTGATCCAGCTCCGGGACGACAAGCGCCTGTGAGGTCCCGCACGTCGCCGACGACGCGGACTCATCACAAGTCCCGATCCTCCCCTGCTTTCGCCTTGGTACTGCTCTGCCTCTACGCCTTGGCTCTAGGTACTACCTTGGAGGAGGCCGCAGGGCGAGTGGTGCAGATGCGCGGGAGCTCCGGCAAGCCGCCGCTCGCCAGAGACTCCGACTTGACGCCCGGCATATCTGAACTGGCAACCGGTCGAGCTTGCAACGACTCTTTTAGATGAGCTTGCGACGATTCTTTGGGATGAACTTGCAATGGTTTGGAGCAGAGCGAGCGGCTGATAAGGTTTTTGAAACGAGTCGCGAAAGGACGGGTCTACCCTGTGGTTAGCTTCTGCTCTCCTACTCGCAGGGCGAGGGGCGAGGGGCGAGGGCAGAGACGTCATCCCGTTATGTGGCCACGGAGTTCGTTGTTTCGGGCTTGACGTCGCCGTCGGGTGCGGGTGCAACGGCCTCGGCACGAACGAGGAGGGGTGGCTTGGCGTCGGCCCGACGCCTCGTACCGTTACGCGCAAGCGTTGCGTTGCCATGCACCGCCCTGCTACCCACACGCACACACGTAGCCCTAGCCGGACCTCCCCTCCCTGTCGCTTCCTCCATCCGGCTTGCGCGCGGCGCACGTCCGCACTGAGCCGGCTCTGCGGCTCGCCACGCACGCACGTGGTTCCCGTCGGCAGCGACAACAGCTTCTTCTACTCGGTAGACATTTTGTTGTTCAAGGCAAGTCCTCCTTGGAAGAGAAGAGAAAATACTCACTCTGTACAAGGAAACAGAGAAGAACCCACAACTACTACAACAGAAGGCAGCAGTCTTTCTGCTCCAAGAGCATCAACAATTTACACGGGAACGTTCCCTTCAAGAATGGACCAGAAACCAGTCGTGAGACCTTGAGCTCAACTCAAGTTTTGGGCGGGAAATTTTGATCACTAGAGCGGGCTCTGCCTCTGAGAGTTACCCAGCAGAAAGCAGAATACAGTTATGCGGGAAGCGGCATTGTAATGTGGATCGTCCTTCAGTCAAGCTCAGATGAGATTAGATTATCTACCTACCAACTCTTGACAAAATTGGACCCTGTTTGTTGCCAATCAGCTACTGCTATGCAGTTTCTGACCCCTAGTGGCAACCAGTTGAGGAGATCGTAGCCCAATATCAGTGTAGCATTACACTAATCCAGTTGCAGGTGTTCTTCAGCACCTTGAGACCAACAAGCCACGACGACACCATCAGTTAATAAGAGAAGCTAAATACTCCTACATCGGTGTAAAATACTAGGCATGACTAGAAATTACAAGAGAACAGAAAAAAAAGTGTTACTTACAGAAAACACACGAGACATAACGCTAGAAAGGCAAAGCATTACGTCGATACGAAATTGTTTAACTGTGCATATATCATGCTCTTGCCTATCAGTTTACTTCTTTGAGAAGTACATGGAATCCTGGAAATGGAGCGGCTCGTTTCCCCACGAGGTCCACCCGGAACCCAATTCTCTTGCAAAAAGCTCTATGCACCTTGGAGGTTTTGGACCAGGGATATATTCTGAAAGAATTTCTTTTGCAGGTTAAGGATTGGACATAAATCACACCGCAACTATAAGAAAAAGAGCTGAATTGCATTTACGACAGAACATATGCTTCGTTGCAAATTATTAACTAAAAAAAATAGACAGGACATGACAGGCGGTGACAAATTACAGGCAAGGATACTCTGAAGAGGAGGTTTCCTTGAGTGTGCACCCGGAACACTCATAATTACTTGGCTGCCTTGTACAACCTTAAATTTCAATCCTGATTCAGATTCTCTATTCTGCAGGAAAAAAGCCAGGAGAACAGAATATATCGATTTCAGGATACACGGTCCAGATCAAACATTAAATTCCAGAAAAAAGGCAAATAATCTAGAGGAAAGAACTCACAACATTTATGTAGCCAAGAAGGAGACACTCATAAGGCCTGTGATGGAACAAGTCTAGATCGCCAATCAGTGAACCATCCGACTTCACCTGTCATTTGTTGAGATTTTTCAGGACCACATTGCACAAAACTAGCGGCAACCATCGTAAAATCACCAAATGTGTCAATGAAATAATTATTGAAAGATAGAAGGTGACACGTGAGTGTTAGCTGCAAACCTTCAGCCAATAAAACTCTGTGGGGTCTTTGACTCCCCAAGATGGAAGCAATTCCTCCTCAACAAACCTTCGCAGTTTCTCCCGATTTGTGATCCACAAAACTAGAAGCGCTCCAGCTGGATGTGCAAGTTCTTGAACTGGAAGATACAACAAATTTCTATTGGGAAGTGTAGGATACCTAGGGCATAAATTGTTGAATAAATGAACTGCAATTCATAAAGATGCCTAGCTGACAATGCATAAACGGGATTATTACAATTAAAAAGATGACAACAATAGGGAAGATGGATCCGTTTTAGCCCAAGAACATTTAATTTTCATGAAACTACCAACAAGCATATCCCCAAATCAGGTTTTATTGCATGAGAACATGATATCAGCACACATGGTTCATGGTCAGTGTATCATAAACACCAGTAAATCATAGGACACCACAAAAGATACTCTACATATAAAAGAAGGATTCAAGAAATAAGAAATGCTGTAATTACAAATGCAATATTCAGGAATAGTATGAAAAGAACCATGAATTATAGGTCATATATCACATAGCTGTGCTAACATTCAAAAAGCAAAGCAATCCAGAGTTTAACTAGTTAGTAAAAAAGAGAGGCAGAAAGTTAACAACTCAGTGTAGTTTAATTAAGGCATGTCACAAATAAACAAAAAGGAGAAATACTGGAAAGTCAGCCATCAATAAGACCCGACAATCTAAAGTTAGAAGAGTTAACTTACGCTTCTTTCTGGCGAACACATCCATTCTCCCAAGGTGGGTCAATAACTATAAGGTTGTACCCTATATTAGGATTATCTGGAGAAAGAAGACATCATCCACAAAATAAACGGATTAAGTACATCTGCCAATAGAACCGTAATAAGCACAGCAAGATCTATACCACGTATTAAAACAATTTTTATGCTACATTCCACGTACCAGGAATGAGATCACGAACATGTGTGAAGTCAGTCTTCAGTTTATGTATCATCAGCATCATGCAAAAAAACAAGAAGAATTAAGGATGGACTGTTCACTTAGATGAAATTAGATGAGACAGCCTGCACTAAAGAATGATCAACTCACCATCATAAAGCAACTTCGTTTTGGTAAAATATAAAGTCTACTCTGAAATTCTCCTTCTGCCTCATCATTTTCTTCAACACTGACTATCCTATTAAATAACGGACTGGATCTCTTTTGGACACCACAGGTACCTAGAACATGGTAGAGAAGGGTTTTATGCACTTTTATGCATCATTCATACCTATAATTCTATAAATATGATCACCAAGAAGGCAGAAGTACTCGTACAATTTTTGGTTTGATTATTTTACCTGCCTCGTCCTGACCATGAGGATTCTGAAAGCAAATAGTCATCTCGTAGAAAGGTGCTCGCCATGAGCCCCCAAGCTCAACAAAATTGTTCTCAGAACTAGTTTCAACATTTGGCCTGCACTCATCTCCCCTGATCATCCCCGGAAGGAACTCCAGTAGATCTTTCGCCTCCAGGAGTGAATTATGCGCGCTAATTAGCAAAGGTCTTGCTTCCTAGCAAATGGAACACCACAAGAGATCCAAACATTACATCAAAATACCTGTAGAACACTATTCAGCCTATTTTCTCTACCAATTGGTATAGGCACACTATGACTGTTTCACGAAGGGCATAACAAGACACCAGGTGTTAATAACAGCCACTCTCTAAAAATTCCTAAAAAAATGGCAATTCCAAATTTCTTGTTTGCTGATGACACAATTAAACTTTTTCTAGTTTACTGTCGTTGCTGCGTATGAACCAAATGTAAAGTTCATGTCACTAAGGAGGAATGAGCAGACCACAACCTTTACACTGATTCAGCTCTTAACTAATACCGTTAGAAGAAGGAAACAGCAGTAAATGAGTAAAAACTAATCTAAACCAATGTGCCACATGGTCACCTGGTGCCGCGCTTCTGCGATCCTCTCCACGGCGTTGAGTTCCCGGGGCTTGGGCTGGCGCTTCCGCTTGCGCTTCTTCCGGTCGGGAGACGGCGCCGTCCCCTCGGCCTGCGCTTCGCCTCCCTGCCGCGACGGGCCGAAGCTTCGGGAGTAGTACGCCGACGGGACGAGGCGGAAGCGCCGGTAGGATTCGCCGAGGAGGCGCACCGGGTCGAGGAAGGCGGCGCGAGAGCCTGCGAGGCGGTAGATCCCCGTGGCCTCCAGCAACCGGAGCTCGTCGGAGGGCTCCATCGGAGAGGCGCCGCCGCGGCGAAAGGGTTTGGGTCGGGAGGGAGCGTCGGCCGCAGGTAGGGGTTTAATTCCAGCAACTTAGCCGGTGGGTCCCACTTTCCAGAGCAACCAGCGGCCTGCGAACTGGCAGTGTCGCCGTCCACAGAAACCAACCCCCGCGAAATCTTCAAACCCCACGGCGACCGCCATGCCAATTTCGCTGCTCCTCTCCGCCCCCCTCCCCTGCCCGCCGCCGCCGCCGCCGCCGCTCCTCCGCCACGGCTGCCGGCGGGTCCCAACGCCCCTCCGCGTCTCCCTCCCGCCCCCGCCGCTCCGCGCGGCCCTCGCCGCCGCCAGTGGCGATGCTGGCGGGCGGCGGCTCGTGGGGACGCGCTGCGCGCGGGCGGCCGCGGCGGTTGGGGTTCCAGGGGGAGGAGGCGATGCTGGGAGTGGGGCTGGCACGGGGATCACCGCGGCTGCGGCGGCCACCGTGGCGCTCGCGGTGATGAACCGGGTGCTGTACAAGCTTGCCCTCGTGCCGATGAAGAACTACCCCTTCTTCCTCGCCCAAGTTCTCACGTTTGGGTAAGTTCGATTCTTCCAAGGACATCTAAGCTCAATTCCAGCAAAATTTACATCCGGTGCTACACGCTAGTACGTAGTATAAAACAATGTGCAGTGCAGCCCTTTCAGAGTTTCATACCAACTGAATGCATGTGTAATTCTTTTTGCGCATCCTTTTTGCACACTGATTTCTGTAAAGTCAATGCACAGACCGATTTTTCTAATTCTAAATGCTCCTGTACTGTTTCCTAATTTTTGCAGGTATGTTGTAGTGTACTTCTCTATTCTCTTCGTAAGATATCAGGCAGGTATTGTCACTAAGGAAATGCTAGCGCTTCCTAAATCGCGCTTCATGTTAATTGGCTTACTAGAAGCAATGGGTGTTGCGTCAGGCATGGCTGCTGCAGGTGATTACTGATAGTGATATCCCTACTTTACTTTCAGAATGAAGTATTTCAAATGCACTTCTTAACAGCTACGTACTCCCTCCATTCCGAATTACTTGTCGCAAGTATGGATGTATCTAGATGTATTTTAGTTCTAGATACATCCATTTCAGCGACGAGTAATTTGGGACGGAGGGAGTACATTACTTGAACTATGGTTTCTTCAGAATTCGGATCATAACTAAAATGAGTTCCGTGTTTGCATTTTTGTCAATGCTCACAGCTATGTTACCCGGGCCATCTATTCCAGTGTTGTCTCAGGTACTATTTTTTATTTCGCCTGACAGGTCTAAATTTTTCACATCTTCACTTCTGAGTATTTAATATCCTTTGCCAAGTACAAACATTCTCTTGTACTGCTTATATTCAATCCTGTATTAACTTGGTCATACATATCCCATCTTTGCGATATCCTGGATTTATTTATTATTCCAATTTTCTAATCATCCCTCTTGAGGTTCTTCTGTTACATATCTCAGTGCTTTCTAGATGTACTACTTTGATAGTCTTGCTGGCTGCAGTGCTAGGTTAAATATCTGTGCATAAAGACCACTAGTACTTTCTTTCGGTGATTTTGTGCGGACTCAGTACTCTTAACACACTTGCTGTTGTTTTGCAGTCTTTTTTGGTATGGCAGCTTATTTTATCAGTCATCGTTTTGGGAAGGAAATATAGAGCAAACCAAATTCTTGGATGCTTGCTTGTTACAACTGGAGTAATTCTATCAGTAGTGAGGTATGCATTGGAACATCTAGCCTTGTTTGGAATACTCATTTATGTACTTCATATCACTGTTCACATAAAAAAATGAACAATACTTTATGTGCTTACCGAAAAAGGCTTTCGCCCCGCTTTATATATAAAGCACCAAACCACAAAGACCATGATACAAACTCACGCCACCACCGCACACGACACACACACCCAAGGCAAGATACAAGGGTGCCAGGCACCGCCACACCACCCCAACGACTACCAAGCCACTACAAATGTGCGAGGACGAACTGCTTGGAGCCACCAGAGACCTCCTCCGAGGGGAGGTGAGACGGGAACGACGGAACCAGGACTCCAAGATGGTGCCTCCAAGAAGGGAACGACCACGATAGCCGCCACCATCCGATCCCAAAGATCGGGTTTTCACCCGGAGCAACTCGAAGGAGAAAGGCCACTACGACGGAGCCTACAGGAAGGATACGGTGTCCACGGACGCCGCCACCGTCGGCCAATACAAGATTGGGCAGGTAATGAACCCCAGCACGCCCACCCCTCCAAAGCAACCTAGCTCCGTCAACCACCAGCGACCACCCACCCACGTGGCCGTGGCCGCTCGCCCGCACCCGAGGCGCAAGTCCCGCCCACGAACTTCGTGCCTCCCGCCGCCGGGGCCGCCGCCCTGCATCCAGACACCCCCAGGACCGACCAAAGTGATCAGCTTGGGCCAAAGGGCGCACCCGACCGAAGAAACCGCGGCATACATCCCGCCTCGAACAACGCCGGAGTTGCGTCAGCCCACACTTGGCCGGGGAACAGGGGAGGAGGGGGAGCGGACGCATCCGGGCCGGCACACCCCTGTGCCAGCGACGGGTGGCCCGGGCTCGGCGGCGCCTCCCGTCCCTCCAGCCTGCCTCCCCATCGGACAACTCGGTGTCGCCCCACCTCGGCGGCGACCGCAGCTCCACGCGAGGCCACCAACATACACCCGCCCGCCGGCAAGGAGAGATCCCGAGGGCCGCCACCAATCGCGAAGGAAGCTCACCGAGGAGCCCATCTGCGCGGCCCACCGTCGTCCAGCCGCCGAAGCTTCGGATCCCGGCCAGCCCGCCCACCAGCCAACCGCTGCCGCGTCGCACCACCACCCGCCGTGGCATGGCAGGGGCAGAGACTAGCAGCCCGCGCCGCCCTCGGCCCGCGCCGCCAGGTCCCAGATCCGGCCTCGACCCGCGCCGAAGGACCCAGATCTGGCGACCAAGGCACGCCCACCACCGCCGCGCCGGTCACGCCGCCACCACGAAGCCGTCGCCAGTAGGCTCCAGCTCGCCGCCGCGCTGCCACGCCCGCCGCCAGCGCCGCATCCCAGGCGGCCGCCACGACCCGCGCCGGAGGCCCCTGCCGAGGAGACAAGGCAGCCCCGCTGCCGCCGGCGCCTACCAGGCTTCGCCCGGCGCGCCCTCTCTGGCGGCGGCGAGGGAGAGGAGGGAGGAGGAGGGGAAGCCCGCCGGCGGCGCTAGGGTTTCTCCCGAGACGCGCGCGCAGGGCGCGTCGCGGGAGCGAGAGGGAGGAGGGGATCCCCTGCGGTCACGGAGCTCAGATAGACGCCAACCATCACTTTATGTGCTTCACATCACTGTTCACATAATTTGAACTGAATTGTTTCCAACTGTCTGTTATATTGGGCATCATGGATTCATTGGTATTGTGTATTGGACATGTTCGCATAAGCTTCTGATAAGGCGTAATTGTCAGCTGCTAACTATTTATTGTAGCACCTTCATGAATCGGAATGGTTATATTGTAGAACTCGGACACAATAAGATTGTTATGTGACATATTTTAGATTCCATCCACTAAAAGAATGCAATGTAACTAGAATTTGTGTTGGAAAGTTATTAGCATAAACCTGATCAATTCGTACAAAAGTATCGTATTTTCTTTCTGCTTTCCAATTTCTCGGTAGCATCAAGGGCATAATAAGCTAAGATATTTTCCGTAAGTTTTCTAACATGTAATTTTCCACTGACATGCAGCTAACTCCCTCATATTTGTATGTGAAGGTGCTGTGGCTAAGTACCAGCACTTACACTTGATTAACCCCTTCTATTGGTTACTTAAGTATGCATTGTAGTCAGTCATCCAAGGTAAGTGCGGTAGATGCGTCTCTCTGCAGCAAGGCTCACTGCTTTAGGCTCATGTACCAGATACTTCTGATAACCATAAACCCTTGTTATAATTGGAATAAAACTTAAAGGAAGCTTTTGTGATGTGATCACCTGTATATGGCTTTAACTCTTGGGTGCTTTGGCAGCGTTGTGCCTCATCTGATCAACCTTCCAGATGTACAGTTAGTGGTCGAGACAAAATGCACAAATTATAATGGATCAAAAGTGAGGAAAACAAAATGTGGGGACTGAGAAATGAGCATGGTTTGACACTGATAGGGTAGCACTGTAGTGCATGTATGGTACATGGATATAATGTGGCTAATATGATGAATGTAGAATACTTGCATTTTATGTGTTGATTGACTTTTGAGAATTTCCTGGCCATGCTTTTACTTTATGAATGCAGTGGAGCAAATGGTGGTTCATCTCTGTCTGATGTCAAGTTTTTTTGGCCAGCAGTTTTGATGGCTTCATCTGCATGTCAAGCTGGTGCATCTATAATCAAGGTTGAGTGGACTTGCTGGTGTACCCCTGATGAAACTTTCAGTTATCCCAACTCTAAGTCTTGTTATTACTGTGGCAGGAATTTGTTTTCATTGATGGTGCCAAACGCCTTGAGGTTCGTAATAAAATAATTTCAAGATATAGTTAATGTGAATATTCGTTGTACCTATTTTTTGTTCTTATTTTAAGCTATTTCTGAGCTGAAAGCATGACGGGCTTAGTTCTCTTTGTTTTTACACAGGGAAAACGGCCTGACATATTTGTGGTCAACTCTTTTGGGTCAGGATTCCAGGTAAGCTTAAAATCATCTCTATTATAAAACATTGTTGGTTTAATAGTCACTGGTGAAAAGAAGAACGTTACTCAAACCGTCTTGTTTGGTATCCTTATTCACTCCTCAACCCATTGGATTTTCTCCTTTTTGTGCACTCCAAGTCTGCCATGTTGAACTATGCAGGCTCTTTTTGTTTTGCTACTCCTGCCGTTTCTCTCTAATTTGAAAGGCATTCCATTGACTGAGCTCCCCGCATATGTAAACCGTGGTGCTGCATGCTTTCTGAATGTTGGTGGCAATCTGAACGGTGAGTATTACTCATCATCGTAGTATCTTCAGATGCTAAATAGTTGAGCATTGTTTGTACTCCGTATACCATGTGTTACTTCAAATCTGTTGTTGAATGGCGACAAAACCTTCCCTAGAATCTTGCACTAATAAGTATCGTTCTTCTTTTTACATTTACTTGGACAAATTGTTCTGTATGCATGGCATACACGAACACAACACTCGCTATATATTGCAGTTCATTATGTTGAAGGGCCCTTGTTTGTCGCGTTGATGCCTTGACCAGTGATTAGTAAAAGCTATGTGTCAAGATGAGAGGCTGCCATAGTCACTTTTCCCTGATGATACTGCAATCATATGCTGATGTTTTGAGTTTTCAGATTGTCCTGGAGCCCCTTTGCTACCACTGCTCTTCATAACCATGAACATGGCCTTCAACATTTCTGTGCTAAATCTGGTGAAGATGTCTACAGCACTGGTTGCTTCGTTAACAGCAACATTAGCAGGTTCAGTAACGAAACACACTCCCTCTGAATAGTTTAAGAAGCACTATGATGGTTCGTACGACTGCGAGGCACAGATTTTCGTATTGAGTTAAACGTGCCAAGAAGAAGCTGTTTGCAAAATTGAAACATTCAGCTTGGCATACAAATCATTTCGTAGGATTGTGCTAGCACATATGCCCTGATAAGTAATAAGCACCTAGCGCCTGGCACGTGCGTGCAAACACACAATTAGATACGATTCTTCTGTGTGGTCAATCATATTCATCTCTAACTTTCTGATTCCTTCTTCCGCTGCAGTACCTCTTTCGATATACGTCCTGTCGCTTCCTCTGCCATACATGCCTGGAGGAACAAGTTTAAGCACCTCCTTTTTGGTCGGCGCTGCTGTCTTGGTGCTTGGGTTGCTCCTATATAACCTTCCTCAGAACTCAGCTGATCAAGTGAAGACAGAGTGATCTAAAACCAAAATACTCACAAGGATGGCAGAAAGCTTTTGATGCACCTTGATACAAGACCGTGCATTCAGTCAGCAGCACATGTTTGTACAGAACTTCTGAAGAGTGGGACGCTCTGCAACCTGAGAGAAATCTTTTCGGGCTGGCAGGTCTAATAAGCTCTAGCCTATAACGAACTCCCGGTGCCCCCAGCTCCTCTTTAGCGACTCCAGCAAGTAGCTTCAGTCTTTCTGTCAAGAGAGCGCTTGGAAATATCGGAAGCTCGGTGTTCATGTGGTTGCAAATCATACTCCTTCCCATCTTATACTAAAGCAGTGACAACTACTCCCTCCGTTCAGAATTACTTGTCACAGAAATGGATGTATCTAGACATATTTTAGTTCTAGATACATCCATTTCCGAGACAAGTAATTCCGAACGGAGGGAGTAATATGGAGCGGAAGGAGTATTTATTTTCGTGATTCATATCCACATTTCAGTGTAAAGGTTGTTTCTACTTGTACGTCAATGTATTGCCAAAAGAAAATGCTTTAGTCTCGTACCACCATGCAAATCCTCATCAAGCGCAAAACACACGGGGTTGTCTTGTCCATTTACCTCACAGTCCAAGTACTGAGAAAATGTTCAGTTAACAAAATATTGATTTTTTTTTGAGAGAAAAAATATAGAATTTTTTGACAGGACGGAGTTGGTTGCTTCGTCCACTCTCCGGTACTAGAATTTTTAACTTGTGTGTGTGGTTCTTGTAGACATCTTTCCTTTTGCTGAGATTTCTTATACACATGTGCATTGAAAGCAACTGTACCTACAGGCAGTGGCGTAGCTTGGGCCAAAATTCTTGAGGGGCAATGGGCTTAGGGGTAGTGAAAGATTTCTTCATGAGCTCCGCCACTGGCTCATGGGCTTTCCACACAACGCATGCTGCACTTTTTGAGGGCCAAGGAAATGGGCATTTTGTCCTTGTCAGGAAACCCCAGGAGTTCCAGCAAGGAACCTCTCGCCATACGTACGATAGCATCAATATCTATCTGTTCGGATTGTGGTGATCCATTCGAGTTTTTAGCACAAGGGAAATGCGCCGCTACGTGGCCCGTTCCTTCGAGACAGAACCCGTCAGAGAATGAGAAACAAGAGGAACTACAAGGGTTGGACGCGCTTTGCTGCGTTGGATTTCTTACAAAAAATATTCATAAGGTGTATTATTGTTTTTGAAAAGTCAAACCTTTTAAGTTTGACCAAATTTATAGATAAATATATAAAAACCCACAATATCAAATCGGTACGATTAGATTCATCATGAATTGATTTTCCATACTTTTTTTGGTTAATATTGTGGATGTCGATATTTTTTTGCTCTGAACTTGGTCAAACTTAGAGAATTTGACTTTCCAAAAAACTAATAGCGCTTATATTTTGAATTTGATGGAATATTTAGTTTGGCGGATGGGGAAGATGATGGAGTGTGTTTTACTTTTATTTATAATGTTGTGATTTGATAGGCCTTTTGTGGTGTGGTTCTGTGTTATCCGCTAACCAATGTATATTTATGTGAGTAAAATTCTACGTCGGTGGCTACATATACTATATTGATACTACAATATCACATGGTGGCGCTTCTTTATTCTATGTGATGGAAGAGTATGTGGGATTGATATGTTTTTTGTAGGTCGGTTGCTGCTATTGATTTGTAAAATCGTTGGCCTGGTCAAAATTGTAAACCAAATCCAAAATGAATAGCTCAGTTAATGGTAGAGCTTCAAAAGTTAAGGAACATAGGAAATTAAAGGAATTGAATGGGGGAGCTCTTTGAGAAATTGTTGACCCGGCCAATATAGGGTGACCTGATTCTACATATTGAAGACCTTAATTAATTGTGAGCCTTAAAAATTAGAAAGCATAGTGTATACTCCTCCGTCTAGGTGAGTAAGTCATCTTAGGTTGTGCACCGTGACCAAGGAGTAGGGGAAAACGAGAGATGTTAATGTTTATTTGCTAATTAATAGCATTGCATGCAATGAACCAACCACTGCATGTCGTATTTGATAGTCTCAAGTTATTAAAAGCATGCACACCCCTTGTCTCTTATTGGTTGATATGTGAAGAAACAAGAAACGAGGTAGAAGTTAATGCACCGTGCCTTAGTATTTTGGGATTATTTGATTTCTGTAAGATGACTTACACACCTAGACAGAGGGGGTAGTATAAAAGAATTGAATAGAAAGCTTTGAGAAACTATTGACCCGGTCAAATCCCCAATTTTAATTGGAGAACTCAATTGAATGCGGGCTCTTTAAAAAAACATAGTGTTATAGAGAATATGATTTGCACTGCAACGCAACATATCTCGATGAGAATTAGGCCGTTGCGTACACCACCACGCGTGATTAAGAGGGTGTTTGGATCACTAGAGACTAGAGACTAGAGACTAGTAGTAGTCACCTTTAGTCAGTAAACCTCCAAACACCCCTGACTAGTGGGTGACTGAAACTAGTTTAGTCCCTAGTCACCCCACCCCCAACTTTTACTGACTAGAGACTAGTAGTAGTCACCTTTAGTCAGTAAACCTCCAAACACCCCTGACTTTTACTGACTAAAGTCCCCCTCTCTCTCCTCTAATTGGTGTTGCACAAGGGACATTTAATACTGAGACATTTAATGCTGACTAGTAGTAGTCACCTTCCAAACAGGGCCTGACTAAAAACTTCTAGTCTGACTACTACTAGTCACATGACTAGAGAGTATCCAAACACCCTCTAAGGCTGGTCACAATGGGCAAAAACATAAGCTAGTAATTTACACACTTCCCTAGACTATGTTACTACCTCCATAGTGGGTAGTAACATCTATGTAGTGTCATGCAACGATGTATTTATTAGGTTATAGACTCATTGTTTCTTGAAGTGTGTGATGTTCCGGTAACTTAGCTAGTTACCACAAGCACCTCTCTCTTCATTAAATACGTGCCACATAAGCAAAGTTGTATTGGAGTGTGTGATGTTACTTCTAAGTTCCTCCCCACTGTGACCAGCCTAATTTGGATGCAATGCAATTACTCGTCGTTAATCCCCAAGTCTAATATGCTCATGTTGTACTATGTACCTGAGCTGAGTTTGAATGAAAGTTTGGCGCTTTGGGCACCTTTTCTTGTTAAAAAAAGACGTTTATTATCTTTTGTACTGCTTATAAAAATATCGCCCTGCTTCAGAATGACTTTTTCGTCATGTTTGATTCTGAAAAAGATTTGAACTTTATTTTTTTATTTTTTTACAATTACTAAATTATTTTTCGTATATAGGGTGCGCTGTCACCCAGGTTCACGGTGGTATTTCTCTCCACATTCCTCACCATATTTTTGTATGCACACTTCTGTAAGAATCTGTTTGACATTATAGAAAATATGAGAAAATTAACAGGTTTGCAATGTGCTACAACAGAAAGTTTCTCATTATTAGCCAAAAAACATAGCAAGGCTTTACATACAGCTCCAGAAATTGGGAATGTGACATCCATGTCTTCCTTGGAGTTTAAACAGGACCAGAGTCCTACTGCCTAAGCCCTACTGGAATGTCATGGTGTCAGAGCATCTCTAGAAGATCCTGCAACCGGCCGTCCCGTAAAACTCGTTTATGGTATTCCGAAAACATTTTTTGCAGGCCGCCGGATGGTGAGCCAGAGCAGATCCTGCATACCTAGCCCGCATATTTGAACTTGCATTTCGCGCTTAAAACTAGATCGCCGGAGTTTGACATACATAGCATACGGGAGTTCGTTATTACAAACCGAAATTAAACATAGCATAGGGAAATCTAACACGCTAGCATACTACATCTACTCGCCGGAGTCGCCGGAGTCGCCCTCATCGTCGGAGTCACCGTCGTGGGGCGGGGCTCGTTGCCATGGAGGGTGTGGTAGATCAGCATACTGAAGAGCCTCTGCTGGAGTTGGTACTCCTCACGGAGCATCGGGACGGCACGGCCGCAGCTGCATCTTCGGCGGTGGGTGCCTCCCTTGCCTCCCACCACGTGTGAAAAAACATGTGGTGCCCCCATGCTTGGTTTTGATAATTGATGAAAATCTCTATGGACTAATGGTTGCCTTGACTTATATTTGAAGGATTTGTCCATAGGTATTGCTTGAAGACCATTTGTTGGTTTCAAAGTTATTAGAAGAATAATGTGTGCTGACCAAGGTGCTACTCAAGGATTTATCCAAAGATTAGTCACGTGAGAGTTGAGCATGTTGCAAGCATGTCTTGAAGAAGAAAATTGTGCGAACATTCATGTTTACCTTCAAGACATCATCTTAATGAAGAGAGTTGGAAAGATTCAAGGTTGATCAAGTTTAAGTACAAAGAGTGATTTAAGTTGATCTACACACAAAGCGTAGAAGATATACCAAGTGGGATCAAGTAATCTCATGGTATGGTAAGCATTGTCCATTACGCTTTGTGTACTAACCCGTGGTCTATGTGAGAGTTTTTTTGTGGGGTTAGGCATGTTTCCATGGTCATGCATCAAAAGGAAGATATCATATATCCCATGGAGGATGACATCAAGTCGTGATCGTCATCAAGATTGCGGTGTGAAAGTTCAAGTGGAGCATTACGAAGAGATCATGCTTGAATCTTGTTGTCCATTGTGGTGACAATGGACTTGTGAACATGTGCCGAAGAGTGGCTCACCCATAGTGGAGTATGGGTGAGCAATCAACTAGTCTTCATCGAGCCAACACAATCAAGAAAGGTGGTCCAATTTGAAAAAGTCAAGATCGTCATTATCTAGCTCAAGTGGACTATGTGCAAGGCAAAGGTTTTCCCTTGATAGGTTTTCTATTTTGCCGGTCTCATGGTGGTAGTTGGGAGACCGGGTTATAGCATCGATTGCCATACTATCAATGGGGGCTCTCAAGTGAGTGGCTTGATCGTATCGTTTGTATAGAGCTCAAACCATGGCATTCTTGCATCATCTTTCTTGGTTCTTATTTGGTGTTTCTTTTTATGA